ACCTTAACAACTAGCTAGATTATATAACTACTATAGTATATATAGTGCTTAGAGGTAAGTAGCATGTTAATGTGCTTAGTAAGGTTAATAATAGTTTCTTTATTATTATTTAATATATTATTAGTAACTAAATAATATAATTTTAATATAATTTTAAAGTTATAAATAATAGTAGTAATTTTATACACTTAATTTACTTTTATATAGTTACTATAAAAGTTTTAAAAGCTAATAAGTAAGTCTTAGTGCTAGTAGTTACTATTTATTTTTATATAGTTAATTATTATAAAGTTTTTAAGCTACTAAGGCGCTAGTACTAAAGAATTACTAACTTACTAATAAAATAAGCTACTACTCTAAAAAAGAAAAAGTAGTTCAGTAAAGTTTATATATTAACACTTAATATAACTTTTAACTAGGCTACTTTTAGTACTATATAAATCTTCTACTTTTGCTTTATAACTTTAGAATTTATATATAAAAAATATGTAGTAAGTAATAATAAAAAAGTGTAAAGAAGGTTAGCATAGTTCTAAAAAATAATGCTTTAAAGTTTAGCTAATAAGGCCTTAGTAAAAAAAATATTATAAAAAATTACTTAGTTAATAACTACTTTTTATAAAAACTTTTTTTACTAGATAGTGTAAGTAATAATATGCCTTTTTCTAGTAACTTTATAAGTAATGTTAAAAAAATTAGCTAAAAGCTATAGCTTATTAAGTAAAAAACTTTTATTAGTATTAACTTAGTGCTTTTTTTTAAGATAGCTAATAATATAGTTATTGTCGGTTGACCTAGGTTCGATCGAACGAACGTACGCCCAAGGGGCGTACCAAGAGGTGAGCAGGCAAAGATCTTCTTGTTATTGACTACTGCCCTCTCTCTTTGTACGAAGAAAGAGGGCTCTTAAGTACACATAGCCCCTAACGCACAGGCCAGATAGCCAACGTTTCAGGCAACCTAATTCAGCTGTACGCGTGTACAGACACAGCTGTACTTACGTACAGACAGTTATAGCTATTAACTTTTTTTACTTTAGCTTAAAAGCTTTATATATAGCATCTCTTATATAACTAAAGCTTTAAAAAGACGCTTTTATTATTCTTATACACTAAATCTGCTTTATACTACTATATAAAGGAAATAAAATAATTTCTATAAAGCTAGCTTTTATATTTAATATAGTAACTAAGCTTTTTTAGTAAAAGCTTTTTATTTATTAGCTAAAAGTTATTTTACTTAATAAAAAAGTTTATGCTATTATTAAAATAATTATTAGCTAAAAACTTTTTTATAAATTTAACTACTAGTGTCTTATTATAAAAGCTAATAAATAAAAAAAATAATAAAGCTTTTAAGTAAGTAAAATAATAAAAACTAGTGTAATAAGCGACTTTAGCTTATTAGAAGAAGCTAGCTTAAAAGAAGCTAGCTTAAAATAAGGCTATACACCTACTATATTAGAGGAATTAAGATACTTAGCTTATAATAAGTAAAAATAGTAAATTATAACTTAAGGATAATAAAATACTACAACAGTTCATAAATGATCTGTAAAAGCAAAGCTTGCTTAGAGTAATTATCGCAACTGCTAATTAGAGAGCAATAAAAAGTAAGTCTATTAACTATAAGAGGCTTATAGAGAGCTTAGACGCTAAGTGTCTTAGGCTGCTTGTCTAAAACACAGGCGCAACACTAGGCCTATGTAGGTGACGCTAGGTCCCTGTGCTCTTCTTACGCAATAGTAATAGTTAGCGCATTAAAGTA